TAGGCGTATCAGAAGAGGGGATGGGTAGTTAAGAAATCAATATATTCAATTAAAGAGAGAAATAAAGAAAGGAATAAGAAAAGCAAAAAGGGACTATGAGGTTAAGGTCGCAAGAGATTCAAAGACTAACCCAAAAGGGTTCTTTCAGGTATACAGAAGTAAGATTAGCGACAAGATTGGCCCACTTAAGAGTAACTGTGGTCAAATCACTGACAGTGATAAGGATATGTGTGAAATTCTAAATACCTACTTCCTCTCAGTTTTCACCCAGGAAAATACTAGCGATATTCCTGAAATAATAGATTATGTAGAACAGGATGATAATAAACTATGCACGATTGTGGTAACTAGTGACATGGTCCTCAGACAATTAGAGAAACTAAAACCTAACAAATCCCCAGGTCCTGATGAACTGTTTGCAAGGGTGTAAAAGGAATGTAAATAAGAACTTAGCATACCTTTGGCTAATCTTTTTAACATATCACTACAAACTGGCATGGTGCCTGATAAGTGGAAAATGGCAAATGTAATACCTATTTACAAGGCAGGTGACAGGTCCTTGGCTTCGAACTATAGACCAATAAGCCTTACCTCCATAGTGGGAAAATTTATGGAATCAATAATTGCCGAAGCAATTCGTAGCCATCTTGATAGGCATAAATTCATTAATGAATCTCAACACGGTTTTACAAAGGGGCGTTCCCGTCTTACGAATTTACTAACTTTTTTCACTAAGGTGTTTGAGGAGATAGATCATGGTAATGAATATGATATTGTGTATATGGATTTCAGTAAGGCTTTCGATAGAGTTCCACACCAGAGGATATTGAGGAAACTTAAGGCACACGGAATAGGAGGAGAAATTTTTTCCTGGGTAGAGGCATGGCTGACAAATAGGCAGCAGAGTTTGCATAAATGGGGAGAAATCAGAATGGGGGCACGTCACAAGCGGTGTTCCTCAGGGGTCAGTGTTGGGTCCCTTGTTGTTCACAATTTACATAAACGACATAGATGAGGGAATAAATAGAGACTTAGCAAATTTGCTGATAACACCAAAATAGGCCGTCCAGTTCATTCTAATGAGGACACTAGAGCACCCCAGGATGATTTGAATAGATTGATGCAATGACCGGAGAAGTGGCAGATGCAGTTTAATATTGACAAATGCAAAGTTCTAAATGTTGGACAGGTAAATAACCATGCCACATATAAACTAAATAATGTAGATCTTAATACTACCGATTGCGAAAAGGATTTAGAAGTTCTGGTTAGCAGTAATCTAAAACCAAGACAACAGTGCATTAGTGTTCGCAATAAAGCTAACAGAATTCTTGGCTTCATATCTAGAAGTATAAATAATAGAAGTCCTCAGGTTGTTTTTCAACTCTATATATACTTGGTTAGGCCTCATTTAGACTATGCTGCTCAGTTCTGGTCACCGTATTACAGAATGGATATAAATGCTCTGGAAAACGTACAGAGGAGGATGACAAAGATGATCTCATGTATCAGAAATCTTCCCTATGAGGATAGACTGAGGGCCCTGAATCTGCACTCTCTCGAAAGGCGTAGAATTAGGGGGGATACGATCGAGGTGTATAAATGGAAAACAGGAATAAATAAAGGGGATGTAAATAGTGTGCTGAAAATTTCCAGCCAAGACAGGACTCGCAGCAATGGTTTCAAGTTGGAAAAATTTAGATTCATGAAGGACATAGGAAAGCACTGGTATAGTAATAGAGTTGTGGATGAGTGGAACAAACTCCCGAGTACAGTTATTCAGGCTAAAACGTTGTGTAGTTTTAAAAATAAGTAAGATAAATACATGAGTGGGTGTGGGTGGGTGTGAATTGGACCTGACTAGCTTGTGCTGCTGGGTCTGGTGCCGTGCTCCTTCCTTGAGTGCAGGTGACCAGACTGGGTTGGTCATTGGGCTAATCCGGGGGGGTGGATCATTGGGCTAATCTGGGGAAGACAACATGGACCTGCTCCGCATGGGTCAGTAGGCCTGTTGCAGTAGTCCTTCTTTCTTATGCTCTTAATTATTGCAGCAGTATTCTCTGTGTCTGTAGCATAATCTGCAGTAGTATCAAAGTAGCCTCAGTTCTATTTCCAGAGAGTTTAAATAAAGGAATTGAATCGTTTAATACTTTAATTTAAAAAAAAAATCTGTAGAGGTGGAAAGAGACAGAAGGTTACCCTGGATATACTTTATAAGTAGACTGAATTCATCATTAGAATACATCGTGTTCCGCAAATTTGCCTACTAGGCTGGGTTTACACAGGTTCACAGTCGCTTTGATAATATGAGGAGTGTAGTCTGGGGAGTGCATCTACAGTACAGTACAATCTTGGTGTGTAATAATGCATATGCTTTGAACAAACATATAGCATCATTACTACACAATTGAAAAGGCTTGGCTTTCCTGTATGATTTATACACAATGGTAAAGCAAGGAGTAATGCTAGGCAATAATAATGAAAGCAACGTCCTATTTTGCATCGATCCAAAATCCTGTCGAAAATCTACATGGTGACCTTAATTTGTCACATAAGTGAAAAAAAAAATGTCTTGGTCCTAAAAAAAAATAACAAAAGCAAAACGTAATTGGTAATATTTTATTAAAGTGACTAATAAACTGAAATCATATTGATTAACTGTAGGCTATACACTCAGTGGCCACTTTATTTGGTACACCTGTACACTTGCTCGTTAATGCAAATATCTCATCAGCTAATTACGTGGAAGTACTTAGCTGCCTAAAAGCATGCAGATATGGTTAAGAGGTTCAGCTGTTCTTCAGAGCGAACATCAGAATGGGGAAAAAGTGTGATCTAAGTGACTTTGACCGTGGAATGATTGTTGGTGCCAGACGGAGTGATTTGAATATCTCAGAAACTGCTGATCTTCTAAGATTTTCTTGCCCAATAGTCTCTAGAGTTTACAGAGAATCCTGTGAAAACATTAAGTATTCATTGAACGGCAGTTTTGTGGGCGAAAACGTCCTAATAATGAGAAAGGTCAGAGAAGAATGGCCAGACTGATTCAAGATGACATGAAGGCGACAGTATCACAAATATCCAAGTGATACAACAGTGATATGCAGAAAATCATTTCTGAATGCACAACACATCGAACATTGAAGTTTATGAGCCACCGAAGCAGACCACACCGGCTTCCATTTCTGTCAGCTAAGAACAGGAAACTGAGGCTACAGTCGGCATAAGCTCACCAAAACTGGACAGTTGAAAACTGGAAAAACGTCGCCTGATCTGATGAATCGCGATTTTTGCTGCTACATACAGATGGTAGTATCATAATTTGGCGTAAACCTTCGGTATGAAGTAGAACGGGAGATTCACAGCAAGAATGTGAAGACAGCAACAAATCTGCAGCAACTACATTATGTTATCATGTCAAGATGGACCAGAATCTTTAGGGAATGTTTCTAGTATCTTGTTGAATCCATGCCACGAAGAATTCAGGCTGTTCTTGGGGGCAAAGGAGGAGACCCAACCCAGTACTAGAAGGGTGTACCTAATAAAGTGGCCACTGAGTATATAATAAACAGAAATCATAATGAATATCCATAAGAAATGTAACACCTATTCAGAAAGTGAATTGCGGTATCGTCGGAGACGAGTCAGTAATTAACGCGGTCCCTGGCACAGCAGGATTTTAACGAGCTCCCCAGATCAAGGTGATGTAGATGACAGACTACATATTATATCATGCTCTGGTTGTAGGTGGTTTCTCTATTTTGTCCTTGTGACCGTGACTGCTGACAATCCTGCCTCACACAGGAAAGTTGTAACAGAGTGAAGAAACACTTTCAAGGATTCACCTCCAAGAATCTGCTTTATTTTGTAAACTTTGTTCCTGAATGAACTCGGTGATTCTTTTTTGCCTTTTGAAATCATTATAACGTGTTTCGTCATTCTGAATGTTGATGAGCTGCTGCTGGAGTTTGCTGATGTTGAAAATATCATCAAGAAAGTCCTCAGGTTCAACTCTGAATGGGTTTCTTACCCAAGAGTGCTTCATCACAGTCTCAAACTCTGTGATCAGCTTGGAAATATGTTCCACGATGATGCTTTTCACCTGGATGATGAGTGAAAATGTTTCGACCTTCAGATGTGCGTTCAGGGATGGACATGCTGCTGTCTTTACAGCCTCAGTTTTACTCTTGCACAACTTCAATTTCCTCTTGAATGCTCTTAGTATCTGTGACAGACCAACCAGCGTCTGGTCGCGACCTCGCATTGAAATGTTCAGTAAGTTAATCTTAGCATATGTTTAGGTTTAATTATGGTTTAACGTAATTGTAAGTTTATGTAAGATTAAGTGTGTTTCAGTTTAGGTTTAGGCTCGTCACTGTAAACATGAATAGCTCGATGAATTTAAATTACAGAATCGTGGCTGGAATAATTTACAACTAACCCACAAATTGGAAATGAAACCACATGACATTTCTGTCTATCCTGAGTCGTTATCAGATAGTAAGATTTATCTCCATTTTGCGGATGCTTCTTTACTATTAACTATTAAATTATTATAGACGACATAGAAACTTTTTAATATGGTCTTGAGCAGGTTATGTTTCTCACAAGATATTCAGGATGGTTAATATGAAAGGTCAGCTGTCGTTTCAAAGTCATACTCGATTATTTTATGGGGAAACAGTACAACACAATGTCTCTCTCGTATTTTTTTTGTGATTACATGTCTGCAAATTCCCTTTAGCTCTTCTTGTCCCATAGAAACATTTGAGGCTACACCTGAAGTTGGGGCGACTTATACATCTCAAATGCATTTAAACATTTAATATATTGAGAAACAATGACAGTATTATTTTTACTATTTTTGTTGACATGAGTAGTTGTCTTAGGTATTTTTACCGAAGTTCACTTGTAGATGTTACCCACTGGATACAAGCCTAGCCTCATAAATTCAAGCTCACTAGAGGTAGTCAATTGGAATAGAAGCACTAACCTATAACATGCATCCGCAGGCGCCGCTGCTGGAGATCCACACAGAGGAGACAAGGAGGAGTCGCTCTCGACGCAACAGTGGGGTCAACTCCTTTTGCACTACTAATAACAAGGAGACTCGGTGCTGCCGCTACCCAATGGTCGTCAACTTTGTCGACTTAGGTTGGGACTTCATCGTCGCCCCCAAGGTATACGAGGCCAACTTTTGTAACGGTGAATGCCCTTTCCTTTACGCCCACAAATACGCCCACACCACCCTCATGCAGAAGCTCAACAGCACCAGCGCCAAACACGGCCCTTGTTGCGGTGCCAGAAAACTTTCGCCCATGAAGATGCTCTACTATGATCATGACCATAAAATCAAATTCGACACCATCCAAGATATGGTAGTAGACCGCTGCGGCTGCTCCTAAGCCCCTCCACGGCTCCACAACTAACTCGTTCTTTCCAATAAAGATCTGTGATGGAGAGTAGATATAAATTAGGCTAGTATTCCAGTATCCAGTCCAAGCACATATTTTTTACTGCTCTCATTAGAATTAATGATAAAGTCCAGAAGCTAATTAATACAGCTAGTGATAATTAAAATGCAATATGTCGTTGTTACACATAAACTGCCACTTGTCAGTCAAGGAGCCTTCTGGGGCTGGCCTTTTGTGCCCTGGCTACCACGGCCGTCTCACCTCTCCTAAGAACATTAATGATTTTGGCCTCTACTGTCTTGAATGTTCTCTCGTTGTAAACAAGTTCAGTGAATGCATAGACAAATGGTGATAAAACTTTCGGATATATACACAATCACACACACACACACACACACACACACACACACACACACACACACATATATATATATATATATATATATATATATATATAATATATATATAATATATATATATGTGTGTGTGTGTGTGTGTGTGTGGTGTGTGTGTGTGTGTGTGTGTGTGTGTGTGTGTGTGTGTGTGTGTGTGTGTGAGAGAGTGTGTGTGTGTGTGTGTGTGTGTGCGTGTGTGTGTGTGTATCTGTGTGTGTGATGAAATTAAGACACATGTGCAACATCTGGGTATCTTTATTGTAGACGTTTCGCCATCCAGTGGCTTTATCAATACAAATTCTAGGACATAACTTGAAGACAGTAGGACTATGTACAGAAGATGAGGTAATCACTCCCTCAACCTAAGAGTAGGAGTAGGTATTGATAAAGCCACTGGATGGCGAAACGTCTACAATAAAGATACCCAGATGTTGCACATGTGTCTTAATTTCATCTTGTCGGTATTATATACCATTCTTGCACAATCTGTGTGTGTGTGTGTGTGTGTGTGTGTGTGTGTGTGTGTGTGTGTGTACTCACCTAATTGTGGTTGTAGGGGTCGAGACTCAGCAGTGTGTGTGTGTGTGTGTGTGTATATGTGTGTGTGTCCCCTCAATGCACTCTTCAAAAACAAGTGAAAGTAAACACAATGAAATGTCGCAGCCAGAAGGGCTCGGACCCGGGGTACCAGCTCTCCACAAATATAGATAGCCGACAATCCGACCCTTTAAATCACTCAACTACAGATGCCTCATAAAGTTAGGTAGCCAGCAGGAGTGGTAGCCATGTTTCTCCTAACGCCTGGCACACCAATGAACCTTAAGCATGGTCTCTAGCTATTCCATTCTCCTCCTGTATATTTTTGATTCACTCTGCAGAAACAAACGAAAATAAGCGCAAAGAAATTCTGCAGTTAGCAGAACTCGAACTCAGTCAACCAAGAATACAAGTGGGTCTTTGTATAAAAGTTACAAGACCCTGGCTGGAGCAATTGGTAAATGATGTACATTTTTGAAGGAAACTGTAGACGACTTTACTGTCCACCATGGAACAATGTCAAGTCACAAGTGAGGAAGAAAAGGGTAGAAGAGTGGTAAGAGAGCGGAAAATAGGTACGGTAACAAAAGTATTGGAAGGCAGCAGCAGCATTATTACTACTGTTATTACTTCCACTACTGCTGCTATTCTTATTACTACCGCTGCTGTTCTTGCTACTACTGCTGCTGTTCTTGCTACTACTGCTGCTGTTCTTGCTACTACTGCTGCTGTTCTTGCTACTACTGCTGCTGTTCTTGCTACTACCGCTGCTGTTCTTACTACTACCGCTGCTATTCTTAGTACTACTGATATTACTATTCTACCATTACTGCTACTACGACTACTAGTGCTACAGCTACTACTGCTACTATGACTACTAGTGTTACAGCTACTACTACTACTACTGCTACTATGACTACTATTATTACTACAACTACTACTTTTACCACCACTGCTGCAACTACTACTGCATGTCTTCTGGTATTGTCATCACCAGGACTGTCTTCTGCTTTCTTTCATGTATTTCCGACTTCTTGCAGTAGTAGTATATTTCTCGGGGAGCAGAAGAGTTTATATCTCCATGAAGTATTCATTGTTTATCAACGCTTCGGTAAAAATTCAGACACCATCATGAAGATTTATACACTGAACATACCAGTCCAAGATCTTAAATAAACATGGAAAACATTATGTTATAACGATCATGATATAATGTTATCTTTGAAAATACAGGCCAATTACTCAGTAGTACAAACAAATACAATAAACTTGTGTAAGAGAAAACTTGACAAATAAAATGGGGAGGGGGACCTCTGTAATAATTATTTCATAGTGAACAGATTTATAGAAGACTTCTTCATTTTGTCAAATAGATAAGCTCTCGAGAATTTTTAAATCTGTTCTGTACTGCTCTTTGCCCTACCTATAGTTTTAAAATACTATAGTAATATTTTATGATTGCTAGTTTCGTAGTGAATTCTGATAGATGTATAATAAGGTGGCTTTGCTAGTTGTACTTGACTCCTGTATGACAGATTCTAGTGTTAGAAGTCTAGAAGCTTCAGTTATATCTAATTTTACACTTAGTAAACTTAACTGATGTCCTACAGTTGAACCAAGAGAAGATGCAATAGATTTTCTGGCTTGAAGCGACTTCATCTATCGAGAAGAAGAATAAACATGAACTTGAACATTATTTGGGTCTAAATAGCGAATAGTAATTTCGAAAATTGCTTCCAAACGTTATAACTAATGTGACCGTTAATGGAAGTTTGACGTAATGGGCGCCTTTACGGATTATCACTAAAGATATTTGGTCAATAAACTTTTTATTAGGGAAGAACTTCAACATTTTTCAAAACAATGACAGTGAATAACTAATATTTAAGATTTTTTGATCACAAGCATTTATTTTTAACATAAAAACAGATCAAGAAGAGCTCAATGAATAGCACCTATTAAATAATGGAATAAAGGAGAAAAAGTATTGGCTTATCCCGTTAAATTAGGACTTATGGTACGTTATGCTAAGAAATTCACCTTTAATTTCTTCATCAGTGATATCAAGAAATGATAACCTACAGTTTCTGACACTTTTTAGCTACTTTTGTGTATGGAGATTATCCCAAAAGAAACTTATCCGATTAGGATCCACAGAATGTAGAACTGTGTCATCAACATATCTCTTATAAAGCAATAACTTAATCAAACTCATTGGACAGTCATGCAAGCAGATCTTATAGTAATATAGAGCATTAGCCAGAGTTGGTCCTAGATGGGAGCCCAGTCTTATTAAAAGTAACGATACAATCATTAACTGCTAACTGTAGTACTCTGATATAATCTTTTAAGTATTGACCTTCAAACAGTTCCGTATAAGCAAAAACACAGCACTTATACATGCATATATATATATATATATATATATATATATATATATATATATATATATATATATATATATATATATATATATATATATATATATATATATATATAGAGATAGTTGCTTAACTATCCGCAACGGGTGAAATTTTATTTCTGACCAAGAGATGATTCGAATAATGGAATCTCTGTCTATACCTTGCTTGACTCCCCACATGAGCGGCAAATCAAACTACACTGTACTATAGCCACTTAGCCAGACACCATATAGCTATGGTTGTGCACTGGAAACTAGGCGTTATATCCCTTATAAGGAGAGCCAGGCTGGTGATAAATTATTTCAACTATTCCCGCATGCAACAGAGACATTTTAGAATGCTCAAAAATCTGCAACAATAAAATAAAATATTTGTATATAATTTCACTTACTGCGGATTGTTAAGCAATCAAAACTATTACTCGTGGGCCGGCGCATGGCAGAAACGAAATAACTTGACACCATCCTGGGACTCCTGGCTATGGGAAATAATGTCTAGCCTCTACCATGCACAGGTAAGTTGGGTCTGGCTCATGCGGGGAGTCAAAGTTAGGAAGTTCGAACCCCCCTCTCCTTTATTATTATTATTATTATTATATATATATATAATAATATATATAATATATATATATATATATATATATATATATATATATATATTATATATATACAAGTATTCATCTGAAAGAGAGACCCTGCTTGCATAATGTGTATTTCGTCCAGCTGATTCTAAAGCAGCAGAGCAAGACAGTATTGGTATGTCATCTTTCCAGCCTCATCGTGTGTTTCAGCTGCATCAGCAAACCTATGCGGTATGCCTGAATTGTGGCAGATATGCTAAGTGGTGTGTCTTAGTTACAACAGTGTGCTAAGTGTTGTGTCTTTGCAAGTTTCTGACTTATCCACTTATGGCCAAATCTCAGAAGTGTGTGGGATTTATCATAGTGCAGTGGCCTGTGGTCTGGAGGCTGGAATACACTAGTATGAGTGGTTTACAACTCTTCTTCTTGCGAATTTTGTCCAGGGATACATTCCTAGAGTTTTGTGTGACGGTGTAACCATGAACGTCAGGGCTGTTGCATGACAGTTACACAGCAGTACCCTTTGCATTGTTAGGAACGTCGAATATACTTTCACTAAGCTGTACTTGGATATAGTACCACGTTCAGCAGTTGCCTGAAATACCTTGCGTGCCCTAGACTGGTTCTTTTCGTGAACTTCAGGAATTCGGCGATACTTCATGTTATCACATTGGTGTCTTGTATGTCTGGTTACTTCAGTATGCAGACCCAATTGTATGTGGGTACTTCCGTGACTGCGAGTGTGTGGGCCTGTGTGGATATTCCATGGACATTATGATTATGTGCCTATGGAAACAACGTCACGAGTCTTTTTTCTTTATTATACCTGGTATCTTATGTGATCGGTGCTATTAACGTAGCCCTGTAATACTAGTAGAATAATGATGTAAGAATATGTTGGATGTGTTATTAATCTACGGGAGTATTCAAAAAACGCCTTAACCCACGCATCCGTAGGAAGAGTAATAGACTTGATCAACTGACACTGCCACTAGTACGAAAAAAAAAGCGTACTAAAAAAAGTCTATTTTTTTCAGTACTCTTGGTAGTTTTTGAACCCTTCGAATCAGCATCTTTACATTTTTTTACTCTCCCCAATCCGATGTACTTATCCACACGTTATATACCTTTCCTATTCAGTCCCCATATCCGAATTTTAAGCCGAATTAGTAAACGACATCCGAGCCAGTTGGTGTATCACGCTCGGCTTCCTTCCCCCCTCCCCCCCCCACACACGTAAACAAAGATTCAACAGAAACAAAGGAATAATCCTGGCTGCTCTTATTGGCACCTTCTGCACTTTACTTTAAGTGTGCTTCAAGCTTGGTGCTTCTGTTGTTGGTGATGTGGTTGTTATCATTGTTATTGGCGTTGTTCTCGTGTGCAAGACAAGAGTACTCGTGCAGAGAGGTCTCCACCTGAACCAGTACTCACCTAGTTGAGGTTGCAAGGGTCGAGTCCAAGCTCCTGGCC